AAGTTTAAGAACGGGTTGCCTAAATGCACAAGAATGACATTATAATGATTAACTATTATATAACCCATGTCAGGAAGTGTTAGCCATTTCTCCCCTGGCTGTCGACCAATGGACTCTATCATCAATCCTAATCTCACTTCTGATAGCAGATCTCCGATTAATTTCTCATATAAACTCTTCTTCTCTCTTATTTCCATGTCTAACTCTCGACGAACTATTGGCCAACCATCCTCACTATACCCGTGTAATGATTCAATGACTCTAAATCCACAATTACCATTCGATTCGACATCCAGAATCTCTTGAATATATGGCCTCATATGAATTGGAAACTGAAGAGTGTATTGTTTTTTTGATTGTGACAACTTCTTTGATTATGACAGCTTTTGTGATGGTTGAAATTGCTTTTGTGATGGTTGAGATAGCCTTTTTGAAGATTGAGATTCTTGTTCAGTGTACTTATGCTGTGAAGGGTTCCTATAAACATCAAACCCAATCAGTTTCTTCCCTGTCTTCTTAACTCCTCCCTTGGTTTTTATTTTCTCAGGTGATGGACACAAGGAAGTTGTTGTGGGGTAAGCAATTTCAAAAACCTTACTTTTTAATACTCTTTTACCAATAACATATAGTGATCTAAACCTTCTCCATAATTCTTCCATTGCACTACTCATGTTAACCTTCGATCAATCTTCTACATCTGCCTGCAACTCAACTTCCTTACTTAGCTTCCTCCAATGAACATGAACAATTTCTATTGGTATCGGTACTCCACCAATAACATATCTACCTAACTCACAAGCACAAGGTAACCCATAATTTGTTTTATGAGTAAAACCATATGATTGTTTGACAGTTCTAACATAATCAACCATCGATAACTCTCCAACAATGCGTCTCAAAGCAGCTCTAGATACAAAACCATGCAAATTACTACAAAATGGACTTATGTGTGCATGCTTACCTTTATAATTTTTTTTAAACGAAGCACGAATGTCACCTATTCGTAACCTCAAGTTGTTGTTCATAGCTTCCCAACATTTGACCATATGACCAAGACTCCCAACATTTTCTTTAATTTCTAGTGTACAGACTCTACCCTAAAAGTCAATGCATAATAAAAATATAACATAGTGAACACCCTAAAAATTAAACATTCTAAAAATCATTGCATAGTAAAAATATAACATATTAAAAAACCTAAAAAATAAACATTCTAAAAATCAACGCATAATAAAAATATAACATAGTTAAAAACCTAAAAAATAAACATATATAAAAATCAATGCATAATAAAAACATAACGTAGTAAAAATACTTCAAAAAATGACATAACGATTAGTCGTGGTGTTACCCAAATGGACTCGATTAATCCATACTCCTACAAATCTATGCCTATGTGGAGTCAACCACGTGTCTTTCACAATCAATAAATTTACTACAATCAACACATGCCTGCTCAAGTTTGTGGAACCATTGAGTATACTCAACCTTGTCACTAGCCCATACAAGATCCATCCATAATGTGTCTATCATCTCTTGCATTTCTTTTACAACACATCTCTTGCATCTCATCCCAACATTTTTGTTAATGTGAAATCGACATAGAAAATTAATTGTCTTAGGAAACACAACTTCAACTGCTTTCATTAAAGCAAGATCTCTATCCGTCAAAATCACTTGTGGACACAAATATTTCTTCACAAATGATTCCTTCAGCTTTTCCAAGACCCAACAAAAACTATATGTCTGCTCAGACTCCATATAAGCAAATGCAACAGTAAATGTCAACTTGGTCGATGTCATGCCAACAGTTTCAAATAAAGGTTGTCTATATTTATTTTTCTTATAAATGTTATCCATAACTAACACAATAGGAAAAATATTTCAACAACTTAACCGAATCTGGATGCGCCCGAAAAATATCTCTTACAAATTATGAGTCATCTCTTTTTCTACTCCAATAGACATAGCCTGCATCCTCTATGAGCTTAAACAGATGTTGTATCTTAGTTCTTGCCCCTCTTATCTCTTTTTCCATCACACTCTTCTGGTCATATATTTGCATGATCCGAGTCACATTCTTAGGATCTCGCTCTTGCAAGGAAAGCAATATGTGTCTAGATGAAACATCTCTCCTTGTCAAATCAAAACCATGTTTCTTATCATATGCAGACAACCTACCAACAAACGCATGACCTTCAAGCATATTAGGTAATCCATGATTATGAACTCCGCATTTTACATCAATCTTCCATCCAGACCCATCTTTTGACGGAGTCGAACTAATTTTGAATGGACATCCACATCTCTTAGTCGCACTATGAGTTTCACTTTTATTCTTGTATTTACCCCCTTTATCACACCCAAATATTATTTTGTTACTTCTTTCTCTCTTGCTTGTTTTAGTGTCTGAACACTTGATAATAACAGTTACCATATTTCTTATTCCAACCTCTTTAATCCATCTTATAACCTCTTCTCGTGTATCGAATGTTTGAGTAATGGAGAATACATCAGTGGTATCTACAAATGGCTCATTTTTTTGGCAAATTTGGTGCAGAATTTCCATACCTAAAAAGTAAAAAAAATTAAAAATGTGCACCGAAAGACTTACGGAAGTGTTTCGGTTTATATTTTAGGACACACCGGAACACTTTAGAAAAGTGTTCCGGTTTACACTTGTTTGCATCAGAAGACTTTTTAGAAGTGTTCTAGTTTACACTTCTTCGCACCGAAAAACTTTTCAAAAGTGTTTCGGTTTACACTTCTTCACACGAAAGACTTTTCAAAAGTGTTATGGTTCATTTAAATTTTAAATTCAAAACCGGAACACTTGGACAAACTCTTCCAGAACGTTTTTTTTCAAAATACCGAAATACTTTGTTCTACTGTTTTGGTTTGTATGAATACGTACTAGAAGACTTTCTCAATGTCTTCTGAAAAAGAGCCGTTGGGTGCAATTTCTAGATTTTTTAGTGAATTTTTGGTGAATAGTAAAAAGTGAAATAATAAAAAGGTTAAAATCAATTAAGGGTAAATTTGACATTTTTGCAAAATTATAAGAGTATAAATATAGAAATAGGGGTACGAAGTAAAATTTTATGAAACATTTGACCTATAACTTTTGGACATGTCCCCGGCCTAATAAAGATATCAATAGATTCAAAACAAGACTTTAGGAAAGTTGTAGATTCAGCGTCCTTGGCGCCGCTGCCCAATGCCTCCACTGCTTGAGAGAAGTGTTTTAACTTCTCTTAAAATGTTTCCTGCTAAAAAGAACAATGTAAAATATATATAAATGACGATATTTGTACAGCAAAATTAAAACATAATAATTTTATAATTACTATTTTATATATCTTCTTGGATCTTTCATTTAGGCTTGAGAAGTCTTTCTTTTTTTGTACAAGTCCTTAAAAAGGCATCATAAAATCTAAGTTCTCTACCCAACTTTCGATGCTTAAACATAAGAAATAAAATTAGTGTTAAATATTAAAAAAATATAACTTATGAGTTAAAGATTAAGTTTTCAAATATTCAAGATGACCAACATACCATACTACAATTTTTTTGATAAATAATATAGATTAATATACGAGGTTCATAAAAACATCCGCAAATTAATGTGTCGAAGACACTCCTTCTTATTTGCAACACTTTTTAAAATTTTCGCAAATTAATTTGCCAAAACCATCCCCTTTCTTTATAACAAATAAAATTAATTAATTTATTTAATTTCTTTGTCTCCACCTCAATAACTCATATTTTTCTTCTTTTTGTTGCCTTAAAATACTTCTTAATTTTTTTTATCAAACATTCATAATTTCTCATTTGTCTGTTGATCAACACTTTTATTTGCACTAACGCGTGTAAAGGATATCTTCGATTTTCCATGCAATAGCGATAATTGACTTTATATCTAACACTCTCTTTTGAAATAGGTAAGTTAAACTTTATTCTTCATGATTATGTAATAGGTATATTCGAAAATCATCTTCATGATATATAATGTGTTTGGAATCACGGTGAGAAAAAAAAAAAGCGCTTCTACTCGAAGCTATTATTTGTTGCTTATGGATTTTTATGGTGGAAGTGCTTTGTGACGTAGAAAAATAGAGCTGGACGTGGATCCAAACATACTAATAGTCTTTTAACTTTTATTTATGGGACATTTGTTTCACGTAGTCAAAATTTATTTCCAAGAATCATTTACTCGAAAAAATAAAGAGAAAAAATTTATTCCAACATTTTTTTTATAAAAATTATTTGGCAAACATTTTGACATCCTAGAAAAAATTTTAATTTTAAATAATTTTTTAAAAAATTTATAAAATTTCATAGAAATCCACGTTCCTTCCTTTTACATCGGAATATGAGAAGTTATGAGAAATTAATTTTTTTTCTTGAAATGTTTTTACTTAGGAATCATTAACATTATTTTCAATCTTATAACAAACATAAATGTATTTATTTCTTATTCATATACTCTCGGAAATCTTATTTTTAAACGTGAAATAAACACTTATATCAACTAAACAACAAATAGTAATGGGTGCGTCCGAAAGTCATCCTTCTAAAAATACCTCTATAAATTTAATTCAATGATATCAAATCATTAATATACGATAATGAGTACGTCTACAAGATGATTTTCGAATATTTTTAAGAAATTATTCTTTCAAATGACACTTCTTTAATTTTTATTGAATGAAGTGACATAAACAATAGATGCATCGAAAGATAACTTTCCGACGTAAGTATTTTAAAAATTTATAAAATTATTGAGAAATTCTTGAAGTTCAATGAAAATTATAAAAGAAAAAAAAAGTTTGTATACTTTAAATTACCAGCAAGGCAATGTTAGTTTCATATGAAATGTTTTTTGGACTATTTTAGTAAAATATGACTGGGCTCTAGGTAGGAGCCCAATTCCTCTTTCAACTTTCATCTATAACCTAGAGGCACTGCAACTCAGAAACGACAATGGTAGAAGAAGATTGATGATGTTTCTGCCTCACGAGTTGGTCATCCAAATCTTACTGAGGTTGCCGGTAAAGTCTCTTATACGCTTCAAGTGTGTTTGTAAGTTATGGTTTTCTCTTATCTCTCATGATTCACACTTTGCAAATTCACATTTTCAACTCACAGCCACAGAACCCAATTGTAGAATTCTACATATATCAAATTCAACGCAATCCATCGATGTCGAAGGATCGCTTGACAGTGGCATTTCACTCAACCTTGATTGTATCTTTCCGGAGTATTTTACCGATGATTTTCAAGTTAAAGGGTCATGCAGAGGGTTCATACTTTTCTGTGGCTCCTTAAATATCTACCTATGGAATCCATCCACTGGAGTTCACAAACGAATACCTTTATCTCCTTTTGGTTCTGATTTAGATGCTGAATATTTCTATGGTTTTGGGTATGACGATTCAACTGAAGATTACTTGGTTGTTTCAATGTCTCATCATGATTATGATGATCCTTCATTACACTTGGAGTACTTCTCATTGAAAGCTAATGCATGGGAAGAAGTTGAGGGTCCTCACTTCTCTTATACCTTTGACGATGAGCCCAAGGGTGGGTCTCTCTATAAGGGAGCTATTCATTGGTTGGCTTATTGTGATGATTTAGGAAGTGATGTTATTGTTGCATTTGATTTAATGGAAAGGAAACTTTCATACATGCATTTGCCACGTCATTCTAACGGTGAGCAATGTAGTGGTTTGTGGGTGTATGGAGAATTTCTCAGTGTGTATGCTAAGAATAATAGTAATGTTACCGTTGAAATATGGGTGATGAAAGAATACAAAGTGAACTCCTCTTGGACTAAGACTATTGTTCTTCTTGTTGATTCCATCAGTTCCCCAAACGAGGACTTTTATCCGTTGTGCTGTACAAAAAATGGTGATATTTTTGGGACAGATGAAGACGATGGATTGGTGAAGTACGATAAAAATGGACGATTTCTAGAGCAACATTCTTATTCTAATTACAATCTTAGATGTGATGTAACTATGTATATAGACTCTCTGCTTTCACTCCCCGGTGATGGTGACAACGAGTAAGCTTGAGGAGACGACACAAACAAGAAGAATGAGGTCTGAAATATTCTCTTTCACTATTCTCTTGATATTTATATTGAACTAGAGCATAATTCATAATGTAACAATGCATGTTGATCCCAAATGGCTATGTATGTATGGTCTTTGCAATGAAGTGCTTAAGTAGATGACGCAAACAAGAAGAATGAGGTTATGCTGAGTCATATGTTTGAATGGTTAACTACTTGTGTGATTCACTGTTATTCATGTATGGAGCTGGATTTTATTCTACTATATGTTTTGATTACGGCTTGAAATTGTCTTGTAAGGTAAATTATTCCAATGATTTTATGCATGTTGATCAATATCTCAACTATATGACTTTGATTCAAATCAATTCATTGAAAATTTGATTATAACTACTTATGTATTTGAATGAACTAGAAGGTTTTGTTCTGTAATTTTGGTGGACCTTAATGAGTTTATACTGTCTTTACCGTTGTTGTATCAAAAGTAGTTTATGTTCAGTGCATGGTTTGATTGAAATTCTGTTTCACAAAAAGAGTGCACATTTGATTTTAACTTGACCTGTAGATGAGATGATGAAAGTAAAGCAGAAATTATCTAAACATGCAGGTGGGGGATATTATATTGTGTTCATGACATGGTTTTAAAGCATTTTCCATTCTAAAAACAAAACTTTTAAAGTGCATTAAAGGCTTGTTTCTTACTACAGTTGTCATTGACAAAATAAACAATTAGTTTAAATTTTATTATACCTATTCATGACTGGTTCTTTACAGTGGGTGAATCTGAAAAAGACTAGTAAAATTATGTACTAGTCTTTTTTAGAAAACAATATGCATGCAAGTAAAATGTCTCAAAGAAAACAATAAAAAGAGATAACTATTTGATTGGCTGAATTATACAATAATATCAAAGTTGTATATGCATGTAAGTTTAAGAGCATGGAATAGATTGTGCAGAAGTATTTGCTCCTGTTAGCATTAATGTAGTGTTAGAATGATGATAGCTAATGCAAATCAAATCATAGATGATGAAAATTATATCAACTAGATTGACTATGGGCTTGTTTGGATCGACTTATTTGAGTTTTAAAAAAAAAAAGAGAGAAGGAAGTCTCATATGCAATTGTTAGTTGCTAAATTGACCAGTTCATGAATTCTTACATGAAATGGTAAGTTGCCATCACTTATGGGATGAATGAAGTTGCAGTTTGAAACACTATAGTGTATAAAGCGGGTTTTCGGTATTTATTGTTGTTCTCATTACATCATAATTGAGAAACATGTTCGATGCATCCTTAGTATTGAGAACAATTGAGTTCACAACAACACTAGTTGCCAATATGTTGTTCGAAAATATTTCATAAAGGTACAATGGCGCGGCTGTTAACTTTTCTTGATTGGTGGATAGTTGCATGAGAAGAATTTGACTTACACTAATCAATAGTGAAGTACCATATGATGAAGATTCTGGCACAAACATTACTAGATTCTGGCATAAGAGGATCCATCAATTTGAGTCTCTAACAATAGTTTTTTAATTCATTTAGTATGGTTATCCGCTAACACTCAGCTGGCAGTGAGAGTGAGTGGGTGGTATAATAGGTTTTGAAGAGGAAGAAGGGAATTAGCGTGTCTGTGTTTTTTAGTAATGGCATTTGAATTGATAATGCCATCTAAATTAATTAAGTTCAGCAGAGTATCATATAGATAACAGTGCTTTTGTGGTGGTTCTTCATTACCTGTTCCGTGTTGTCACAGTTATGAATGAATGGATGATTGACTATAGTCTACAAGTAGTATTAGTATATCTTTTTCTTTGTATTGGAAATGGGAGAGGAGAATGAGAATGGCATTGCAAAACTATGTGACTACGGAGAATGAGAATGGCATTGCATTAATCTATTTGATTGTGATTTTGTAGGGAAGACTTTGCATTTGCCATCAGTTTAAGTTTCTAACAATATTTTTTTAATCCACGTGGTGTGGTTTTGATTGTATAATTGAAGCTATGATTAAATAGGAAGCAGACAAAGTGTTGCATGAGATCTTCACCTCATGACTCTAGGATGGGTGAACTTGAAAAATGAAGCACCAAGGTGGATCCTTCAAACTTTCTTTGCTTCAATGCCAAGTTCTCATGGAGAGCATAAAATAGAAACTCACTGGTCTCTCCTTGTAAATTAATCCAAGACCTCTATAGGAGGTATTTGTCGGAATTTAGTGTAGTCTCTGAGTCGTTTAACTTAAGATCTCCATTGGGCTTTCCGAGTTATTTAACTCAAGACCTCCAAAAGGGGCATTGATTGGAATCTACTGCACTCTTTGAGTAGTTTAACCCAAGACCTCCAAAGAGGACATTGGTCGGAATCCAATGGACTATCCAAGTCGTTTAAATAAGTACCTCCACAGGGGAGCATTGGGCGGAACTGTTCACCGTGTTTTCTGGTGAATAACCGCTGATCTTCCAAAAAGGATAACTTTTTGGTTACTCGCAGGATCGATCAGTTTGATCCTAGGACATATGTTAATTCTTGATGTTGTTTGGACATAAACGTTAATGTGGGTGAAGAACTCAAGTTCGACTAGGAAAGGGATGAGTTTGAGTGCAGAAAGTAAATAGAAAGAAGGGGTTGAGAGGAGGTTAGGTGCATGAATTTGGGTAAAAGTGCAGATAAAGTACAAACAAGATAAAGAGGCAAGAAATGTAAAGAGAGAAATAAAAGACTTTGATTGTAAAATATGGTGATTCAAACGTACATTTCTCAGTATTCTTTCTCATGCAGTGGGTACTTGAATAATATTGAATAATTTGTACGATCAATTGAACACACAGAAATCTACATAAACTTCATATATTTATACTAAAACTAGGTAACCGTCGAGGAGTTGCCTTGCTCCAGGATGAAGACAAGTGTCTTATGCATGCGCTTCGACCCCTCTTTGCACGCCACGTTGTTTTCCTCAACTGCCAAGCGAACTGCTTTTCCCGCCTTTCTCCAGATTCAAAAATCTTCCGGGGCAGATACGAAGCTTCCTTCTGGTCGAAGACCTTGGAGTCCCTTCAGTCGAAGGGATTGAGAACCTTCTGGTCGAAGACTCATTTTAACTTAGAATTTCTCTAAGTACTTTTCTACTTTGTCGAAGCTTTTTCCAACTTAGACTTGTTCAATCTATTTTTGGTCCATAAGGCCAACTTGTTATAGGTGTCGAATTTAGGAGCTAACAAATTGCACCCCAAGAATATCAGTTTCGACGCAAGGAGAGATGATTATTCTTTGAGATTCCCATTCGACATCCGTCTTTCTTTTTTACCACAGAAATCGCTTGTGTGCTTTTCGCCTTCTACCAACCCCTGCTGATATTCAGAGTCATCATTACCTTTTCTCAACATGTCGCTGTCAATCAGCCGTTACCATGCTGCCATGATGGCCATTATCCATATAACTTAGGAAAGCATGGCAAACGTTTTCATTTCTCGTACGATAACTGCTTTAACGTTCGCCACGTGCCCCATTAACTCTACAACATTAAATGGTCTTGGGAAAAACACTCCTTCCCGGACACTATAAATAGACTAATCTTCTTTTGGGAATTCTTTTACAACTCCTAGCATTCTTCACTTCCTTGCAAAGAAAAAACCTTAACAACTTTGTCTTCTTCACTCTTTCACTACTACTTTCAGCAATGGCCTTCCTTTCCAATGCACCCAACAATCCAAAAACTAAGAACGTTTCTGATCTCCAAAGACAACCTGAGGTTTTCTCTACTAACCCTGTACCTGTTTCGACTGGGGAATGAAGGGTCGTATCTGAACCCATGGCCAAAGAGTGGCGTGATGCTTATGACTCCCAGTTGCTTATCCCTGTTAGGTATTCTAGGCAAATGTATGTTATGTCTGACCCATTGTCTTCATGTTTCGAGAACCCAAAATAGAATATTAACTTCTTCCCAACTCACCCTATGCTCAAGCCTATAGGTTGTGAGAAAAAACTCATGAATGATCCTAAAGATGTAACTCCTGCCAACCAACAACATCCTCAAACGAAGGAAGATATCAACCTTCAGTTCATGAACAAGGGCAATAAAATCTTTCGATCTTGTCCTAGTCTTACTTCAGAATACTCGGAATGGCTGAGTAAGATAGAACAAGTACAAGCCCAAATCTGGAAAGATATGGGGATCTATGACTTGATCATGCTGTCGAAGACCGGGCTAGCTTATTGCCCTCTCATGCTGGTGGCTTCACTGTATTTCTGGGACATCACCCATTTTACCTTCCATTTTCCTTGTGGAATGATAACTCCAACTCTCTTCGATATAGCTGCCATTACAGGTCTTCGACCAACAGGTGACTACTTCGATCTTTTCGGCCACGAAGCCCACGTATATCATATTCATCAATCATTTCCACGAAAAATCGAGTACCACTGTCTCTGAAGTGGAGCAGATAACTTTTCCGGCTTTGTGGTTATCTCGTTTTGTTTTTTGCACTAAGTCACTTCAAGTGACTAAGAAAATGCTTACTCTTGCAACACAACTTCACCATGGTTATCCTCTTTGTCTGACTGAGTTGATTCTAGCCAACCTGTATGAGTTCATCAACAATGGTGTGACTCAACTTAAGGTTATTGGGGATAAGGCGAGCTTACTTCTTTCCGGCCCCTTTTGTCTTCTGCAACTTTGGCTAAACGCCACTTTTGAATCTTTTATTCCGCAGAAGAATAAGATTAACGAGAGGGATCCAGAAGTCCTGAATAAAAAGGTCGAAGGGACTAGACTCGTCTTGTTGACTCCAACTGACGAAGGTCAAAAATTCCAAAAGGCGTTCACCAGCTTTGTAATGATGTTTGCAAAGCGGAAGGAATTTGTTTCGACCATGGCTCCATTTGCTAGTAGAAAGGTTGACCCGAAATAGTTCATTCGACCATACCCTTCGTCTGACGAGGATGACTATGTGGATGAATATGTAGCTATTTGGGAGTCGTTTCTTCGACC